AATGTGCATGATCCAGCTGAGATGTTCACTGTGAACTTAAAGGATAACTTATGCTCATGTAGGAGGTGAGAACTGATTGGTTTGCCATGTGTTCATGCCTTATCATGTATGAAGAGTAGGAACTTTAAATTTGAAGATTACATTCATGAGTACTATAGAAAGAGTAGGTGCAAGGCAATATCAAACTATTTATTTATCCTATTAATGGTTCAAATTTATGGAAAAGGACACAATATCCAGATGTGCATCCTCCAAAATACATAAATATGTCTGGTAGACCAAAGAAGAAGAGACATCTTGAACAAGGAGAGCTTGATAGCACTGATAGAAAAATAAAAAGAACGGGGCTAATTATGAGGTGCAGCAGATGCAAGAAGTCAGGGCACAACAAAGCCACATGTAAGGTAACAGGGTCTGCACAAGCTGCACCAACTACTGCACAATCTTCACAGGAGAATGCACCACCTCAAGCTCAACCTTTACAACAAACTGCACCACCTCAAGCTCAACCTTCATAGCAGACTGCGCCACCAACTACTCAACCTTCACAGTAGACTGCACCACCAACTGCACAATCTTCACAGCACACTACACTAAGGCATCAAGCAACACCAAATACTCAAGGAAGTTATACATCTAGAACTAGTCAAATTGCTGCTCAAAAATCAACAATAGGGAAGGAAAATAAGTTGGGTGTGAGAAGGGAACCAACTCCTTGGGTACCACCTGGACCAACCACAAGATTAGGTGCATCAAGAATTAGCCCAACAACTAGGAGGACAAACCCAACAAAAAGAATCACATCCAAGAAGAATGTTTAGACTGGTTTTTTATATGTATTCTGTTTTTGGAACCACTTTTTGCATGTATTTCATGATTTATGTTTTGAGTTTATGTACAATATTCAAGATGTCTATTTTGGAACGGCTATTGGGTTTGTGTCCAATGTTGTGAACATGTTTATTATGAACATGTCTATTACGAACATATCTATTTTAAACATGTCTATTATGAACATGTATATTATGAACATGTCTATTTTGAACATATCTATCAATGTCAATTGTTGTGTTGTCTAAATTGTCTATATTTTACTGTGTTTTATTGTCAATTAAATAACATAATAACTGGTACATTATAACCAAATAAAATGATGCATTCAAGATGTTCAAAATTACATGACATAATGGATACATCATTAGGTGGATATCATTCAAAAAATACAACGGGTATAAAACCATAACTAATAACTAAGCACTTAAAACTTTAAGAAACACAGAACCAAGAAAATTGTCATAATCATTAAGCTACAACATTTTTCTAACTTCTTCATCTTGTTCAACCGCCTTTTAATTTCATCAGTATCTTTCCTTATTTCTTCAATTGACAACCTAGCTTTTACAACATCCATTTGTAAGACTTCAATATTCTTTGCAAGATTTTCCAACCTACCCCTCATAACTTGCCCATTGTTATCTTCAGCTTCCTCTATAAACCATTTGAAAAACCCACATCCAGGATGCACAGGTCCCTACATGTCACATATATTAATGTTCAATTTCTTAAACCCTAAACCAATAATCTGTGAACAAAAACCATACCTTAAGATGAGGACACCCCCAAAATTGTTTTCCATAACTCTTAGTCGTCTTTGCCCTACGTAAAATGGCTTTATCTCCACAATTACAAACCAACTTCCATGGGAGATTCGACATCATATAAGGCTGGGATTTCAAACTTTCATGGCTTCCTTGTACCATAGACGAAGAACAACTCGAGGATTTTATGACGTTCAATTTCTGGATACGAATAATGATTGCACACAAAAACCCTAACCCCCATATCGAAATATCATTTGCATTGGGAGAAGATGAAGCTCGTCGTTCTTTTAACGAAAGAGATGAAGCTCAAGATCCACGTCATATGCCACACAAGTTGTTCTAAACGGTTGTTTCCATAAAATAGACGGAAAGGACTTACGTGATACCATTTTAACAGATAAGGGAGTTATCTGAACTTTTTAAAAATTAAGGAACTAAATTGGACCACGAGTAAAAGTTAAGGGACGAAAAATGGTATTTTGCCTATTTTAAACAATCGCTTCTCAACATTATATAACTTATACTATCAATTTTTTATGTTCACGAGGTTTTAGGATATACCTAATAAAATATAACTTCAATTGTACATATTTTTCTGTGAATTTTGTCACTGAAATTTATTATTTTCACGGGTCACTACCACCACAATACCTTTTTAATCTTTAGCTCAATAAAAGATATTAGAGTTTTAAGTTTTCATCAACTCTGTATTTGAAAATTTTTAAGTTTTGTAGCAAATTCTTAGGTACTTGAATTGATGTAAATTTTACTGACTCGTGTGAATTTTATCACTAAAATTCACTATTTTCAAAGGTCAATATCATTATAATATTTTTTTATTTTAATCAATAAAATATTTGTACATATATGTAGTTTTCAATGATATTCGTAATTATTTATAATTATTAGATATATTAGATTTATCATGTTTGTGATTTGATAATATTTCTTTTTAAATATTCTCAATTATTAATGATTTTATAATAACAATTATATATCAACAATAATCAAACATTATCGAATGATCTAAAATATAAAAAATTAGTGACGAAATGAGCGAGTATAACGTTTCATCAATCAAATTGAGTTACAAGGGACGTAAAGGTTCAGTTGGTAAAGGACACGCCTTACCACTATACCATTTCACCATATTGTAACATTAATACTTGCATTTCATATAGATTATTTTAAAAATACTAAATTCGGAATAATATTTTAAAAATCACTTACATGATAGTTCATCGTCATGTGAAACACGTTTTTAGTTATGACCTTCATCAATGGTGCATAAAACACTATTAGTTTGTTTAGGACTTCATGGTTTTTTAATTTGTTATTTTCTTAATAGTTGTGGCTCATTAGGTTTTATTTTTACAGGCATCATGTCTCCTTTGTTCTTATTTTTTTTACCATTCCTTATTCATTGAATTTTGTTTTTTGAACATATCTTTTTCAAACAAAATAAAATAAAATAAAATAACTCATCAACTTGCACCCACTAAAAAAATGAGTGGGATAAACTAAAGTTGAATTTACAGAAACTATTGCATCTGGACCAAGAGAGGGCTCCATTTGATAAGCCTGCAGAAGAATCAGCTTACCTTTAGCCGACACAAAACAAAAAAGTTTCAACAAATATCCATGCACATTGTTCATTTCACATTCACACCGTTATTAATTATTATTACACCAAGTGAAAAAAAAAAACATTCCAACATGAAAAAACAATTCTAGTAAATTAGGCCTATGCCTCCTTGAACATAAAGTAATAAATCAGACCAAACCAAACCAAAACCATAAGTCAAAAAGTAACATACTGAAAATGCTACTAAATCTTTATTCATTACTATTACATAGAATCAAATTTGTATCCTTCTAGGAGCAGCTACAACATGCCACATCCAAGCAACATTCACATGTCTCATAGCAACAAAAGCAGCAACATAAGGCAAACAAGCTGTGAAAAATGAAGAGAAAAAAAAAAAGAGGCAATTATTAATGTTGCGAAGAAAGAGGCCAAAATGATGTAGTATTTGGTTAGTGGCGACAACAATAATAACAAAAAAATTGTTAATAAAGAACAAAAGCAACAATGTTAATTGCTAACTATACAAACCAAGCATAAAGACAGCCTTTTTCTTCATGGCGTTTATGAACATGTTCCACATAACTCATCTCTTGGTGTACAAGAGGTTCATCCATTTTTTTTTTCTTGGGAATAATTGAACAACTTTATTAGTCAGGAATAATAAATTAGTGTATGACATATACAATATATAGAGGGTGAAAATTTGATAGCAAGTTTTTTTTATTTTTTTTATTTTTAATTTCTTGCTTTATTATGTGGTATGTTGAGCCATGTAATTATATTTGTGGTTGGGTTAAGGGGCCATCACCCAAGTCATATAATATCTTTTATCAACTAAATTTCTTCTCTACCGTTCTACACTTTTGTTTCTTTTCTATATTTGAATGGAGGGTTGCTTTGACTTTGGAATGCTAATATAGAAAGTATAATAAAAGCTATTTACGTAAAGAAAAAAAATCTTCATTTATTGAAAAACTCATAAATCTTAACATATCTCCTCGTATCTAAGATTGAATATCTAGAGCGAAGACATAAATAAATCTAATAATAAGTTGTCCGCTGATATCATTTTAAAGTGATAGTTAGGTCTATAACCCAATATTATAAAACTGACTTGTAAGATGAAGATTGTCTCCCATTTATAAACATATGATCCGAGGATATATTCTTAGGAACTTATCATTTAAGTTTGTGGCCAATTTTAACTGTTATTGAAAAGAAAAGATAAAGTGAATAGAATACCAATACCCTGTAACCAAATAATTGTTCCTTCTCTCATTCTTTTACTATTTCTTTTACCAACCTGAAAATCCGGAATGAAGCACTAAAGGCTTACATGAATAGAGAGTAGTAGGTAATAAAACAGACAAGGAATGAATGAAATTTGACTTGGCCTTTAGGAACAGAAATGCATAAAACATTCACATAGCACATAGTAGCCAATGAATGTAGTAGCATAATAGCAATGAAGGGGATGAAAATGTGGGCCATAAGGTGTAACAAAAGATGAAACACTTGTTGTTACTGACTGTTACTGACACTGCATCATCATATAATTGCATTTCATGCACGAATGAACCACCGACACATAAACACTGTAACATGTTTCCTCATGAATCCTCCAAAACAAAAAACAAAATATCACCTACTCAGCAACACCTAAGCAAAAACAACACAAGTTTTGAACATGTTTGTGTTGTTTCTTGTTTGTACTAGATGATGATATTGATATCATGATAGAAAAACCACTATGTAAATTAGAACCAACAACCTCTTACAAAGCATTCAACAACATTACTCAGAAGTTTCAATTAGCATGCCACTGAGCATGTAGCAGTAGTTGGTTTTACTTGGAGTAAGATATCGCCGTTGCTTATGGATTGGATGCCGGTTGCGGCTTCTTCTAGACGTTCCCATGTTATTCTCCGTCTCTCGGCTACGTCGCTTGACTTTGAATCTTCCTCTTCGATTTTGCGTTGGCAGGCGAGTACGAGTTCCTCGTCCATCTGAGATAGCATTTTTCTTATGTTCTGAGTTAGGTTCAGCACTGCTTGATTCCAGTGATTCTGTGAGTTGTGTACAAGTGCTGAGAAGACCAGAGGCAGAATCACTTGTCGGTTTTGAGTTATAAAATTCAGAATGTGCTCATTGTTCCATAGCAAATGAGCTCGTTCCGCCACCTGAATCAATAAATACATCAGTATAAGCTATAATCGATGCTCATCGTAGCGATATGAGTAACTATAACTGTACGTGAATAAATAAACACGCCAATATAAGCAAACTAGAAAGATGATCGTCGTAGAAAAAACCACCTGGTAATGTGAGCTAGTAAGGCAGCAAGCCAGTCGTCGAAACAGCGGCACCATAATCTTCTTGAATTCATCCATGCTAGTCATTTCCAAAACCTCTTCCAACTCACTCATGAACATGAGCTCCTTTTGGCTATTTGTAACCGGCCAGTACTTCAATAGTCCTTTTATCACCGAGCTAACCAATCTTTGATCCTTATCTATGAACTGTACAATGCAATATGTTAAGTGCTGGTGGTAAATTCCGATCGATTTCGGTTTATGCAAAGGAATTAAAACCTTCCACAAAAATATTTTGTGTTCTTCCTTCAACGGCATGGCAAATCCACTAATAACACTCCCGAAAATCTCCAATAGCTCGGCAATTCCACTATGCCTCTCGGTCTCAAAAACAAACCGATAGATAATATTGCTAACCGATTTCCTTATAAACGGTCTATGAACCATGAATTTCCCGTAGATTCTATGCAGAACTGTTTTCAAACAATCTCTTTCTCGAGGGTCCTCAGAATCAAAAAGGTCAAGTAATCTTAAAACAAAAGCATGATCTACGTGAGATTTCGCAAGCTTCACATCAAGAGAATTGTAATTGATGAACTGAAGGAGTAGATCATAAACAACTTGAAGGTGAGACCAAGCAGGATCAAACATTGGTTCTTCGTCTTCTGTTTCTCCACCACCACTACTCGAACGAAACTTAGGTGGAAAAACCCTGAACAAATTTGCTGCACACATTTTACACAACGCGGCGATTGCTGGTTCTGTAAACTTAACAGAACCAGAAGAAACAAAATCAACAAGGTCTAACAATGTTTGCCGTTTAACATCTTGCTCACTACAGTTCTTATCGGGATCACTCATATCATAAACTTTGCAGCAAAGGTTCAACTTACTGATAAATAGGCTTTGTTTCTGCGTATTCGAAACATCTTTGAACGATAGAGAAGGATCAACCGCTTCCACTCCAGAATTCACACTTGCAGGAAAAACAACAGAAGATACCCTTTTCACAACATTTAATTTACTTGAAATTGTACTTCCAACATTTGTGCACTGAAACACGTTTCCGAAACTAGTAGTACTATTGCCAGAATCACTCTTTGCAGAATCTGATGAGTCCGATTTCGGTAACTTCTTAGGCAATTTGCTAAGAATTTGCTTTATCATTGTGACAATGCTACAAGCCTAACCTATAACACCTGCATCCAACTTATCCAAATCAGTTCATAGAATAAAAATCTTCCAATACTTAAAAGCCCAAAATCAAATCCTATGAAACAATCTAATCATTCCACAACAAAGATACAAGCATAAGAGAACTAAACAATGAAATTAAACAAAATCTTGTGCAAGACAGAATAATTAGATACAAGATCAAGAGAAAACAACAATCTATGAACAAGAACATGTCTCAAAGAAATTGAGGATAGTCAAAACATAGGAACAGTAAGAACAAAATCCTAGTCAGATCTAACAACTATGTATCAATTTGTTCCAAGAGAGATGACAGAATTGAGTACATTAGGTTGAATCTTGGTAAATTTCCAACCACAAACAATAATTGAAGATACACTGTTCAGAACAAGTTCATCATCTTAAACTTAACAACTTTCTGCAAATCAAAGGAAGAAGAGAAAGGCAATAATGAAGACAAATTTTGAAACTTTACAGTAACATCAATAATGGGTGGGAAAAACTGAGATCTGGGGTGTACAGATAGATAGAAAAAAAAAAAAAAAAGAAAGATAAAAAGCAAGCTCAACCACTTGAGGAACCATTAAAGATGTTGTACCTCACAAGATCCTCACCAAACCAACCAGCTATAAAACTTGAAAATAAAAATAAATAAATAAACTTTAATACACAACAATTAAGATAAAAGAAAATAAAAATCCAAGGTAAGAGTGAGTGATGAGAAAGAGCAAGAAACCTGAGTTGAGAGAGTGAATGAAGAGTAGACTAGGTAGAGGAAGGTTGATGATGGAAGAAAGAAAGAGAGGATTTTGATGATGAATAATGATTCATGATGAGAATGGATGAATGGTTATGGTAGTGATGTGAGTAATCTCAAAGTTTTGGTTCCTCGATTGAAGAGAATAAACGATGGGACATGTTATGATGTTTTTAATGTTAAAATGTGTTTCTTTTGTTAACTCAAATAACACAAACAACAATAGTCCAATCAAAGCACCGAACCCAACTTCAAACTTTTTTTTTACACTATTTGCAAATTTACCCTCACTTTATTCAATATTTATATATGTATGCATTGCGTAAAGTGAAAAATGTAAAGAATTGAATTTGCAAAATCGAGGCTAGATATTTGGAATTTGAGTTAGGAATAGGAATGAGTGTGTGACAGAATGAAAAAGAAGAAAGAAATAGGAGGGGGTGAGGTGAATGTAGGAAGAGAACAAAATTGAAAAGTGAGGGACAGAATCACCCTTAACACAAAAGGTAAAGAAATTCAAACTAAGAGAAAGGATGGTGAAAGTGTAATGCGGTAATAAATGTATCACCAAGGGAAATTATTTTTTGATACTTTTATGCTAGGTCTTACAAAGATGGGAACATGATAAATAAATAAATAAAATATGATTAGAAAGTAGGTAAAATATGATAAACAACATAATAAAATATGATTAAATATTAAATCTAATCTAATCAAATCTAATTTAATTTAATGTTTTAATACACCCTCATAATCCAAGTTGTCAAACATCTTCAAAAATAGTCAATTTGAACTATTCCTAATTTCTTTCTTAAATTCAGGAATATGTCGATCTTCAATCTTTTGGTGAAAATATCGGTCAACTATACTTCACTTGAGCAATGCATAACTTCAAGTTCACCTTGATTTACTTTTTCTCTCAAGAAGTGAAACTTTGCTTCAATATGTTTACTTCTTCCATGCAGAACTGAATTTTTCGCCAGATTTATGGCTGACTTGTTGTCGATTTGCAATACTAGAGGTTTCTTCACTTCAACAGTCATTTCTTCAAATACAGATCTGATCCAAATTGCTTGACATGCAGCATAGGATCCTGCTATATATCCAGTTTCACACGATGACAATGCCACCACAGGTTGCTTCTTCGAACACCATGAGATTGGGGCACCAAATACTTGAAAGAAATATTCAGTTGTGCTTCTTCGATCTTCCTTATCTCCACACCAATCAACATCTAAAAAATAATTAACTATTGCTTCTTTACCTTCAAAATCTCGTCGAAATAGTATTCCATAATTTATTTAACCCTTCAAATATCTCAGGATTCTTCTTGCAGCCTTCATATGTGACACTATTGATTCACCCATATATCAACTTACTAATCCGACTGTGAAACCTATATCAGGTCGACTGTTGCACACATACCTCAGAGATCCAAAAATTTGCTTGAACAAAGTTGCATCGACTTTGTCTTACTCTCCATTCTTCTCCAACTTCACATTTGGTTCGACAAGTGAGGATGCAGGATTCGAATCATCCATTCTAAATCTCTTGAGTATCTCTTTGACATACTTTCTTTGATGTAGCACCATACCTTGCTTCAACATTTGAAATTCCATGCCTAGAAAATAAGACAATTTTCCTAGATCCGACATTTCAAATTCCTTCGTCATCAACTCTTTGAACATCGACAAGTTCTCCAAACTATTTCCAGTTACTAGCAAGTCGTCAACATATAAGCATATGATTGTTATATCTTGTGCTACAACCTGAACATAGACACTGTTGTACCCCAAAATTTTCCCTCTCATTTCTCAAGGCATTTTTCACAAAGAATTCTAAGAAATTCAAGCTTACACAAGTACTATTGGATTTTTCAGCATCAAGTTAAAGAGGAAACTGTTAAAAAGGGCAAAGCAGATGAAAATATTCTTTTTGACAAAATTGAAGGGAAAACAAGTTCCCTTCAATTTTACATCTTTCGATTGAGCACTTTGGCTCCTTTGATGCAAGCTTTGGTTGCACCCTTCGTTTGAGCATTGGACTTCTTTTGGGCAAGTTCATCCCCTGCTTCATTTGGGCGCTAGACTTCTTTTGGACAAGTTCATTTCATGCCTTCGTTTGAACATTTTATTCTCTTCGTGCAAATCTTTCGTTTTGGCCATATAGCTTCTTTCCTGCATGTTAGCCAAATTTACAAGGCAAAATTCCCCACCATGTTAGCATGTGTTGTATCCCAAAATTTACCCTCCCATATTCTTTAAGGTTTGTCAAGAATCATCTTCAAATGGTTCAAGATTTCTCAAGGATTGCACAATCCAATTACCTCCTAAGCCAGCTGAAATTAGGGTTTTGGTTCTTTCAAGGAATTTGAGGTTTTCAATGGTCCAATCAAGTCTCATAGGCCTATATACATCCTCAAGCACCTACATGCCAAGTTTCAAGACTCACAATGCCAATTTGCACAGTCAAAAGCCTCATTTGATCTACAGTCAACTGCAGGGGCAAAATGGTCATTTCACAGTCAAAAGTCAGAATTTTTGGTCAACATCTTATTTTGAGTACACAATCATCATTTGATCAAGTCTTGATCATGATTCCATAAGGATAGCTCAAAAATCATCAAGATATAAAAAGTTACTATTTTTGGACAGCAGAAAAGTCAACTGTATCTTGACCAGGGCATAACTTTTTCATGGTTCATCAGAAAAATCCCATCCAATGCTCATTTTGAAGGATATGAAATTTCCTACAATCCATCTTCACATTCCAAGTCCAAGAAATGCTCTCACAAAAAGTTATCATTTTCTACATTATAGGTCAATTTCAAAGGTCAACAAAAATGCACTTTAAGTCAAAGATCATAACTTGAGATTGGTAAATCCAAATGACATGGGACCAAAGGCATTGGTTAGAGGACTTCAAGACCTTTCCAAAATGTCCAATAACATGTTCATATGATCAAAATTGAGCAAGATATGCATTGGAGAAGTTGGGAAATTTTTGTGAATTTGCAAAAGTCAACTTTGCTCAAAACACCTTGTTTTTGCTAATGGGCCTCAAATTTCTTCTTGAAACTTTATCCAAGGCCTATGCACGACCCATCAAGCTTATTTGAACTTATTTTTCTTATTTTTATTAATTATTTGGATTTTTAATCAATTTTAATTCATTTAATTAATTTAAATTGTAGGAAATACAAAGATTTGATTTTTCAATCTTTTTGTGAAGCAAGAATGACCTAATCATGCTGGCAATTTCGTGTGAAAATCAAAGGGACAAGAATCTCCAAGTTTGGCAACTTTCTTCAATCAAAAAGATTCAAAAATATTTGATTTTTAATCAAATATGCAACCATCAATTCAATGGATTTTTTGTCAAGATTTTGACCTAATTCTATTCTATTATAAATATGCAAGCTAACCCTATTCATGCACACGTGAAAATCACTGCAGACAAAGCCATAGCAACATTGAAAAAAAAAACTCAAGAAACTTGAAAACTGTTTTCTATCTTCCAGGCCAATTCAAGGACTTTGGTTGTTTCAAACACATTGCTGGAAGTGTCAGGGACGTGTAGCAATCGAAACCAAGCACTAAAGCTACAAGAATCATCAAGAACAGTTTAACGGTTTGCACATTTTTTCCAGAATCGCAACTCATTATTCATGCGCATTTGACATGTTTTGTTGATTGTTTTGTGTTCATAGGGACTGTACAAAGCTGATGGTATAGTTTAATTGCATTGAAACGCCCAAAATCACAAATTGCCATTGACGAATTTTAGGGTTCATGAGTTCTCAAATTAGGGCTTTGCAATCCAGGCAAAATTGAGACCACTAAGGCATATGGTTGAAACCGTCAGAACAAGACGAACACACTGGACTATTCGCGAAATATTTATATAGAGCACAACTCTATTCGCTATTTTTGGTCATCATGTTTTGTGGAGGTTAAAAACCCCCGCTATCTATTTGTTTTTTTACAGGCACATCGAGGACGATGATAAGGTGTAAGCGTATGGTTGGGTAGTTTAAAATAGCGCGCGTTTTCATTTGTTTTCCAGCATAATTGTTGTTTTTATATATTATACTCATTGTCCATTATATTAACAAAAGCAGGCAAATGGCTTAGTGGATGGTGCGTTGGCCAATGATCATTGGGACCTGGGTTCGAATCCCAGGTCCCCCAAATCGCTTATGTTATTTTTCTTAATA